GAGGCCGAGGCGGGCAGATCATGAGGTCAGGAGATCGAGACCATCCTGGCCAACATGGTGAAACCCTGTATCTACTAAAAATTTAAAAAAAAAAAAAAAAAAAATTAGCCAGGCGTGGTGGCGCGCGCCTGTAGTTGCAGCTACTCAGGAGGCTGAGGCAGGACTGCTTGAACCCAGGAGGCAGAGGCTATGGTGAGCCGAGATCCGCCACTGCACTCCTGCCTGGGCGAGAGAGTGAGACTCCGTCTCAAAAAAAAAAAAAAAAAAAAGAGGGGGTGGGGGAGGAATCGAAGCACTCTTATCAGGGGTCTTCATGTGGACTTGGAGGCATGAAATAAGAGCCAATCATCTACATCTTGGCTAATGGTCAGGGCCCCTGATTTCTTCATGTAACCCAAGGCAAATTATTCCTGCCAGCTGGTGGGAGAAAAGGGCATTGGTAAAGGAACAGGGCTTGACTGGGCACTGTGGCTCACCCCTGTAATCCCAGCACTTTGGGAGGCCCAGGTAGGTGGGTCACTTGAGGTCAGGAGTTCAAGACTATCCTTGCCAATGTGGTGAAACCCTGTCTCTACTAAAAATACAAAAATCAGCTGGGTGTAGTGGTACATGCCTGTGGTCTCAGCTACCGGGGAGGCTGAGGCAGGAGACTCGCTTGAGCCCAGAAGGCAGAGGCTGCAGTGAGCTGAGATTGCATCATTGCACTCCAGCCTAGGCGATAGAGTGAGACTGTCTCAAAAAAACAAAAAAGGGAACAGGGCTATCACCCTCAGGTTCAAAGTTGAGTGAGCCCCATCTCTTTTTTTTTTTTTTCTTGAGCCAGAGTCTTGCTCTATCACCCAGGCTAGAGTGCAATGGCATGATCTCAGCTCACTGCAACCTCTGCCTCCTGGGTTCAAGTGATTCTCCCGCCTCAGCCTCCCAGGTAGCTGGGATTACAGGCACGTGCCACCACGCCCAGCTAATTTTTTTGTATTTTTAGTAGAGACAGGGTTTCACCATGTTGGCCATGCTGGTCTCGAACTCCTGACTTCGTGATCCACTCCCTCAGTCTCCCAAAGTGCTGGGATTACAGGTGTGAGCCACCGTGCCCAGCTGAGCCCCATCTCTTTAGCCCAGGGGATAAGCAGAAGTGTCCTACCCGTGAACATGGAGATATGACCTGAGAGGGAGTTGGGTCTGGCCTTATTTGAAGCTTGCAAGTGGTTTAGAAGAATCCAGAAATCTTAGAGACAATACAGAATGGATTTTGGAAAATGGAATTACAGTCAACCCCCCAGTATTCAGCAAACATTTACTAATGGGGGTCCTCTCCCAGGAAGTGTTCCTTCTAGTGAGGAGACACATACATCAGTAAGCAGACAATATAGAGTGTGGGTTATCCTTCCCAACAACTGGAGTACAGTACAAATAAACCAAACCATGGATAATCCCGAAATTGCTTGGCGTGCACTGCATTTTCAGGAAGACCAATATACTCTGCCCCAAAAAGTTTGACTTTTTTGGTTGGAAAATGCGTCTGCTTTCTTGAGATCCTCCTTAACTGTTAGAACATGACTTGCCTCAAGTTCTCTTCCTGGGAGGTAATTTCTTCCTCCTCTCCACTGGAGAGAAAGTAGCATCAGTTACTACAGAGAGATGTAGGTTAGACTTGAGGAAGAATTTTCCCCTAGTCTAGGCAGAGAGATTGAGACTGATAAAAGTGGGTCTCTTCACAGGGCATCCCCGAGTGTAGGCGGGACACATAGGTTGGTGATAGCCCATCCTGCCTAAAAGCACGGGACATGCAAGAGTACCCCACGGTGGGAAGCCTAGGACGCTCTGGCCTGGCCTCTGCATGGTTCTTGCAGCCTCTTGGTCTGTGGCTAGGACATGTCGATTTTTGCACCGTTTCCCATTCTGAGTCTTCTTTCCAGTCAGGACAGTTCAACGAGGACATGATCCCCACCGTGGGTTTCAACATGCGCAAAATCACCAAAGGGAATGTGACTATCAAGGTGAGGGCTCGGAAGTTAGGGGGTGCAGAGGACTCTGTGTGTGTGTTGGGGAGGGCAATGGAGGCCCCTGGGAGGAGCGAGCTCAAGTGGGGCAGAGGCCAGGGTCCCCCTGCTGAGGAGCTGGGAAAAGACGGTAGAAGACTTCTAAGGTAGACGGAGAGGGGGATGGAGAGGGGGATGGAGAGGGGGGAGAACTGGAGAGAAAGCCAGGGAGGCAGAGGAGAGTAGGGCAGGGCAGGAGGGGGCATTTGAGACCATTTTGGTGGCCTGCCCACTACTGAGGCTATCTCACCCTCTTCTTGCTCAGCTCTGGGACATTGGGGGACAGCCGCGTTTCCGCAGCATGTGGGAGCGCTACTGCCGAGGAGTGAGCGCCATCGTGTAAGTACACGGGAGGCATCCCCAGACTCCAGCCTTACCTGGCTCCCCTAGCCCTGCTACCTTCGAGGACCTCAGAGGCTCAGGGTTGTATTAGACATAATCCTCAGTTCATGACACAGTGTCGGTCCGTGGCCTGCCTTTATTTTGCATGCTGCTCGTTTCTTATTGGATAAATACCCTGAGCGCTCACTACCCAATCTAAGAAACAGACACCTGTGTGTTCTCTTCATTAACTGTCTCCCTCCCCTCAACCCAAGTCACCACTGTCTTGAATTTTGTGTGATTTAAATGATTCTTTTTTTTTTTTTTTTTTTTGAGATGGAGTTTTGCTCTTGTTGCCCAGGCTGGAGTGCAATGGCGTGATCTTGGCTCACTGCAACCTCCTGCCTCCCAGGTTCAAGCA